CTAAAACAAAAAAACAAAATTTTTTCTCAAAATTTGACCAAATAATTTCTTTAGAGGTCCATAAAATCGCGTGGCTACGGCTATTGCAGCGAAAGATAAAAAGAGTATGCGGAGGAGTGATACGCAGGCAGCTAAAAATAAGGGACCGCGTCGCTACGCTATTGTGTATCGTCTGCGCGTTGAATCATGTCTCTGCCAAAAAGACCGGATAATCAAACGATAGTTCTCGGATCCCATGACGCTTTTTGGGACTTTCCATTGTTGAGCAATTTATGCACATCTTCCGATGAAATTTTCGTATCCAGCGCTTTGTAATTCTCGACAACTCGTTCCTTCTTTGTAGTACGTGGAAGCACACTGATCTCTTGGGCGATGGCCCATGCAAGCAGAAACTGCGGTACCGTAATTTTATACTTTTCAGCCATTTGCTGCACATCGGGATCGTTGAAAAGTTTATCGCGATAGCCCGGTCCACCGAAGCTGCTGTAGGCCTGGATTTTCGTAAATAGCTTGTAGAAGGCCAAATCAAGCCAGGATTCACTAACCTGGAAGTGGATGTCGTGATTTTTGCAGTATTCAACAAGATCGTTTTGGTGAAAGTGAGGATGGAACTCAACCTAAAACGAGGAATTCAAACAGCAAACAGGATAAATTTCTCGTAGAAATCGTAATGAACAAAGTGGTGTCAATAGGACTGCATTCACACATCAAAAAAATTCCAGGTAAAACTAGATACCTCGATTTCCAGAGTAAACAACTGAAGTTCCTTCAAAAGTACTGGCCAAGCTACAGCTTGTATGATACATTCGTGGCCGAGAAATTTGACTACAAACTCTCGCCTAAACCGTAGTCTTGCAAAAAGAACCAATCAGCGTACAGTACTTGCGGATGCTGATTGGTCCGATTGAAAAGAGTGCGGCCGCGGCAAAGTCAGGAGTCGAATTTTTTGGCCATGAATGAACCTATTTGAGTTGTAAACTTGTGCAAGAATATTATCATACTTCTACAACTTCGAACTCTAAAAGTCCTAGAAAATACAAATCCTTCTGTAAGAAATTCAGGGCTATGGCCCTGCAAAAAAAACTGAAAAGCATTTTAAAATATTTTAAGGTGTGCCTAAGGCCACCTCCC